GATGGTCTCAATCTCCTGACCTCGTGATCCACCGGCTTCGGCCGCCCTAAGTGCTGGGATTACAGGCGTGAGCCACCGCACCAGCCGAAGTTTGGGATCTTTTTACAGTGCAGTCATGTGCCATATAACGATGCTTCCGTCAATGACAGACCCTGTGTACAACAGACATCCCATACGATTGTAATACTGTCCTTTACCTCTTCTGTGTTGAGATACACAGATACTTAGCATTGTGTTACAGCCACAGACAGCGTCCCGCACAGCATCATGGTATGCAGGCTGTGGCCTGGGATTGACAGGCTGTGCCACAGGGCCTGGCGTGCAGCAGCCACACCATCTAGGCTTGTGTGAGTGCATTCACGCTGCGTGCACAAGGACGTGTTTCTCAGCCTGTGTTCTTGGTGTTTTACCACACATGACTGTTTTGATTTTTGAATGAAGTAATGGGTTTGGTCTTTTAAATAGGATGTTTGTATTCAGCGAAAAGGTGCCAATTGCCTGAAGTCACTAGCTGCATCGGTTTAGGTTTAGATTTGAGTTGAAATGTGACTTAAGCTAGATACAGTGAAAAAATCCGTATCATGAACTTAGTTTAGAAAAATCTCATGACAATTAAAGAAAACTTTCAAAGTCTTCAAAGGAACTTCCAGTGTTATTGCCAGCATACTTAAAGGATGCCCGATTAACAAGTTCTGTGGTGAAATTGTTTCATTTCAGCTCTGTTCCTTTGTGGATAAACTCACAGCTCAAAATAGACAGCTGGAGGATGAGCTGCAGGATCTGGCAGCCAAGAAGGAGTCGGTGGCCCACTGGGAAGCTCAGATTGCGGAAATCATTCAGTGGTACGTGCGCGGCCCCATTAGCGGCCGTAAAGCGACTCCCTGCTCAGTCCACGAGGCCTGTCCTGCCTCTGCTGCCTCATCCTGTGCTCCACGCCAGGTCGTGCCTCTCAGGCTGGAATGCAGGTCTCGTTGCTGTTCCCCAGAACTTCTCATGTCTGGGGCAGTGGTTCTGTTGGACTGGAGGTGGAGACACGCCCCCACCAACCCACTGAAGGACTTGGGGCAAGCCATTCACACCCCTCACGTTCTCAGAGATACGGGAGGCAGAGCCCTCCTGAAGTGGCTGCGGAAGCAGCAGGGAGACTTGGAGCGAGCTGGGACCTGGCCCTCCGCTCCTAAGGTGTGAAGTTGTAATTTTTAAAAGAGTTTTTATTTTTAATTTTTGTGGGTGCATGGTAGGTGTGTATATTTATGGGGTAATATAATTTTTTCATTCTTGAGTCTTGGAAGTTTGGTGTCTTTTTAAACTGCAGTCATGCCATGTAATGATGCTTCCATCAGTGTGATCCTGCACTGTGCAATGGGTACACTGTGGGCACTCTGGCTGACGTGATGCTGTGTCACTGTGTCCCAAGGAAGGTGGGAACGTCCCCTTCTTGTTTGGCTTCTCACTGATAGCTATGCTTCGTGAGACAGAACATCTGTTCCCTCCTCCAGGGTCAGCGATGAGAAAGATGCCCGGGGTTACCTTCAAGCTCTTGCTTCCAAGATGACCGAAGAGCTCGAGGCTTTGAGGAGTTCTAGTCTGGGGTCAAGAACACTGGTAGGTTTTGTGTAATGCCTGCATTTCTATTACTGAATAATTTGTTAATGGTTTTAAGTGTGAATGTGACATTTAAGTACTATTTAGGGAATTACAGTGATGCAAGAGACTTCTGTGCAACCAGTTCCTCAGTTTAAGGAATGCTAACATTTGCCAGCTTTCAGATCATCGTGGCTTCTCTCAATGGCATTCATTCGTTTAGCAAATAATTATTGAGCACTGAGCTCTGTGGTATCAAATTAAGACTGGATTCTGCCCTCAGAGAGCTTTATTAAATTTTATTGGTTCATTTAGTGATCT